TAGTAAAAATCATCAGTATTGACCTGTCAATGAAAAAGTGTATTCCATTAATAAATGGAATGCAAAGCAGCAGCAGGATGAACAGATGTAATAAGTACCAAAGACACTTTTATCCTGTTGAAATTCCACTTTGCTAGCCTTGTGTGATAAACTCCATCTATCTTAGAGGAAGCAGTCATTCCCAACAGGAAACTGCCTCTGCCAGCTAAGGCTCTATGACTTTCATGGCTGCATCCCATCACTTCATCAGAAGTGAGATGAAGATGCCAGCCACAGATGCAGGTAAAACGTCAGGGATAAAGCCTTTCAGAACATGACCACATAGCTCGAAAAACCCACCAAAAAGCTCTATATTGTATTTACGCCAAAAGCTTTAGCAGAACTTGGAAGTAATTAAAAACAACTAATTACTTGTAGTTAATCACTTTCCTCTGTTACTGATGAGTAGTTATGACATTACAATTATACTTTAACAAAACTTAATTCCTTTTCTAGTAGAAGGTTAAATATATTTAACGTGGCCAAACTAAATGTTAAGGAGGGAAACATCACATGATCCAAGTGATGGTTCATGCTGTCCCTCATGCTCATGAATGAAAAATGATCAAATATTTATATAACTGAAAGGTAACTATTTTAGTTGCTTTTGAAAAAAGCAAGAGAAAAAGTAGATAGTTGCTCTTTTAAAAACTGCACCCAATTGAGATGAATAGTAGCTAGCTACTGGGATGGGGGTGGGGGGTGTTGGAATGAATTATTGCTTAAAATTAAGTTTTCAGGTACTGTGTTATGCTTTGTACTGGGGACTTAGCTATGAAAATAATAATGTGGCTAAAAATAAACTGGTACAATGGCTGCCACTCTGTTCATTAGAAGACAGAAGCTAAGCTCCTGAGCTTGGCAAAAGAGCTTTTATAATAATGACGGTGGTGTTTATGGTAATAATAGATTATGATATGAATGTGTGAATTTGATTTGCAGTGATTCAGAAATTTCATTATTCATGTCTGGGTACTCTGAAAAACTGACAAAAACATTCACAGATCCTGACAGTCCTATGCATTTTAATCAGAATAATTATTCAGAAATATTCATTCAGATTTCATCATTGCATTTCGTGAGTGTCACTCTTCTGGATAAAAAGTTTATTGCTAAGGCAATAAAAAGTAATAATGCTAGAAGATGTGCATGGCTGGCTGCACATCTGTGAGCCTTCTAATCCAGCAGTTGGCTGTACTTCTTGAATCTCTGGTGTATGCATCCTTTACTCCTACCCCAGTCAGTTAGCCACCTTATATATATTCATAAGTATGTCCCCCTGTACAAAAAGAGCTGGTTTACTATTATAGTGTATCAGGGCCAGCCCTACCATTAGGCTGAGTTAGCCAGTGGTCCCAAACAGCAGATAATAATATAAAAAGTGCCATGTGGATCAGACCAAAGACCAACCCAATTCAACATTCTGTTTTCACAGTGGCCGATCAGTTGCTCCGAGGAAGCCTACCAGAAACACATGAATGTAACCCTACCTTTCATCATACATTTCCAAGCAACTGTTACTAAGAGTCTGATACACCTTCTGCTACTTAAGGTGGTACATAGCTAGAAGAAAAAGAAGAAGATTTATTTCTTACCCACCTCTCCCCGTGGATCAAGGCAGGGAACAACAATTAACACACAACATCAGTTAAAACACACATCAATTTAAAAGGAAAAATAAGATGTATATATATATTAAAACTATCCACATTTAAGATTCACAATTTAAAAATCATCTGGATAAGCCTGTCAGAAGAGACTAGTCTTTAATACTCTTTTAAATTCAGACAGCATCGTCGTCGTCATCATCATCGGTTTTGGCCAGGACAAGGGAAGGAGGAGGAAGCTTTCCAGGCCAGTTCCTGAAAGAAAGGAGAAAGAGAAGGAGGCTTTCCAGGCAGTTTCTGCCAGGAAAAGAGAAAGAGAAGGAGGTTTTCTAGGCCAGTTCCTGCTAGGAAAGAGGAAGAAAGCAGTTTCCAGGCAGCCATTTTGAGTGTGTGAGTTTTTAAATTCTTTGGGGAGAGTGTGACTGTTGCTCAGTAGGTGGGGCTTTGTTGAGTTGCATTTGCGAGTCAGTAGGGGGTGGAGCTAGCCAGTTAGTTAACTGCCTCTAACGGCGTGCAAATTTTATAACCACTACTAATTGCTGAAAAGTTCCGGTCATCAGCAGACTTTAACACTGGTGTTAGCGAGGGATTTTCTTTGAGGAGGAAAGCCGTAGTCCTCTTTCAGGTACTAATTAAGACACTGAAGGAACTGCTGCCATCATCTGCAATACCTGTGAGATGTTTGTCTTCTTACCTACAGATGTGGGGAAATACATATGCTCCAAGTGCAAGTTGGTAGCCCTCTTGGAGGAGAAAGTACAGCAGCTGGAGGTGCGGGTAGCTACACTTCAGAAGCAGTGATTTGTGGGCCTGACAAGATGTCTCGGGAGGTTGTTGTCTCCCTGGGGCAAAGATCCAAGATGTGACAGAGAATCTGACAAGACTGGTCAAGCCTACTGACCCCTTCCTTTTGATCCATGTGGGAATGAATGACACAGCAAGACACA